ATGGCCGGCCGACATTGAGTCGGGCCACCGCGCCGCCATGGATGCCGGTGAGCTTGCTCCCGAGCTCCACTGGCCATGATAGCTGCACCAGTAGGTTCGCCTTGCGAAGGAGAGTGCGATAGAGTAGACCTCCTCGCCGGAGACCTCGCCGGCGGCGAGGTTAGCCGTGGTCAGCGCCGCCCTTCTTCCTCTCCCTCTGACCACCGGGCCCGTTTGTCAGCCCCTGTGTGTGCACGCGCGTGTACAGATCCGGGTGGATCTAGCATTTTTGAACTAGGATTTTCAGAAGGAATAAAAGAAACGATTTACAGATTTTGTTTAAATGCTTTGGAAATTCATAAATTGAAAAATATTGCTCCAAATTTGATGAAACAAATTTCTATATGCTTCTTATTCTTAGATCTACAGTAGAAAAATATTGCATGTGGTTTTTGTGATACTTTTGTATAGGGTTTTATTTAATTCTTGTATTTGCTGTTATCTTAGAAAATGTCTAGTAAATAGAATAATTATCAAAAAAATATGGTTCTAGTTTTGTTAATCTCCTTTAGTGATGTACTTTGTAGAAAAAAATATATGTCATGCATGTTATGTAGAGAAATATTGATGTGTAGTTCAAGTGCCTCTAATTGATGATTTTTGTTATTTTGATAGAGAACAAAAATTGTATAAAACAAGTGTATGATAATTTTTGTGCAGTGATTGTTTACTGTGTAGAACATAGGAAAAATATTAAATCTGTTGTTGGATACTTTTCATAATACAAAGTATTTTCATGCTCATATTTATGCCATAGCTTGTCATTTTTGTGTAGGCTATTTTACTTATCCAAATGCCATAAAAATTTTATGGTAGTCTACTTAGAGTAGTACTATGCTACTGTAATTTTCTCAGATTTTTCTGTGCTACCAAAATAGGTGTTGCTGTTCAAACCTAGTTTCGATTAGGGTTTAATTAACCTTTTAATGCATGTTTAGTTAATAATGTTTGCTTTGGTGTATCTTTGAAGCATCTTAGCTTGCTGTGGTGACTTGACATGTTAGTACAGTGGTTGTAGTAGTAGTATAGTAGTACATGTTCTTGGATGATGTTGGCTACCTCGTAGAAGAGCTTTACTTCTACTATGTCCAATAAAGTTAAACATGTTCATCTACATTCCATGCATCATGATCATTACATGTCATCTCTCTGATGCACCTATGCATGAGCACTTATACATCTGCATCATATAGGATCGTAGGAGGAGTTGCTAGTAGCAGTTCAAGAAGAGTAGACCGGGACAGATCCACAAGAAATCCAGGCACAGGAGGTGCCAGAGGAAGAGGAGCAAGGAGAGGACTTGCCCGAGTGCGTGAATCATCAACCTAGTTCGTTCGAACGAGGCAAGCCCCGGAGCATTCTAAGTCTCCTACTTTATAAAAGCAATTCTTTTTATATATGAGTTTATATATTGTTGCAATAAGTTGTAGGAGTTGATTGAAATTGTTGATGCATTTATTACTATCCTTGCCTACCTTATTACCTTTTTACCCTGTTAGGTCGGGATCGAATAACTGCTTAGCCTTGCTTAGACCGGTAGCGATCGGTGATTTCCGGTCACCTATATTTATAGGTGGTTACTGGAAGAATTTAGCTATGGAAAGAATGATATCCTGGATTTAACCATGTGTGATGGATAATTGGAGACCGGACGGAAAAGTTGGAGGCAACCAGACAGGGTTCTGGGGTGCTGTTAGTTTTCCGTCTGTGTCGATTAAGGACCGATCGTTGCTCGTCCCTCTTGTCATGTTGAATGTATGCCTCACATTTAGCTGGCCGAATAAAGTACCTTTCGACCGCGAAGCTAGTGACACTATTCGAGCCGGGATAAACTCGGATTGGCAGACTGGTGCTGAAGGGGGTATGACGGGGACGCGAAGAGTGAGCCCAAGGTGCGTCCTGGCTGTCGGGCGGTCCCTGGGTAGTGTGGTCCATGACTGTTATCCCGCGGCTACTTGGAAAGTGTCATTCTGTAGCTCACTTGATCGGTGAGTGTGGTTTGTGTGAGGAATAAATCACCAGCTGGTTAGGAATCAATTCGAATCGCCATCGCTCCTAGATAGTGAGCACTTGACTCGAGCTACAACATCGTAGTAATTATGATGGAACACTGATGGTTATATGGATGGCATGGGATATGTTAAATCTAAGTTGGTAACTGGATGTTATTGGTTAATCAAGTGATTGCTATAGTATAGGTGCTTACCTAGATAGATAGGTCATAATAAAGATGATGCAAAGTACTTAAAATGGTTTCTTCATGATAGCTTTATTTTGGTTTAAAACCGATAAGTCTAGCTGAGTACCTTCTCCTACTCAGGGCGTTGTTCCCATTGTTGTTGCAGATGGTCAAATGTACTATGGCTATTGCATTAACTGCCTGTACCCGACGATGGGCGACAACTAGGACCAAGGGCAATGGTCACTCCGTATCTCTCATCTGATGCTTTTGTTGGAGATTACTACCTACTGGCATTGTATCTGAACCAAAAGTGTGTGTGGCCTTAAAACTATTTGCTTCCGCTATTTCAGTTTGAACTTGGGTTGTAATAACTTTATGTTCTAAACTCCGATGTATCCAACTGTTATTGCGAACTTTATGTAACATGTGACGGTGATTGCTAAACTTGTATGATCTTGGTTTGTATGTCGATTGGTTTGAAATCCTTCGTGGTTTCATAGACTACCGGGTTATACGGGCTTAAGTTTGCTAAATTATCTGCTTCGGCAGAAGATTTCCTTACTTAATCTCGTATAATTGGTCGGTTCTGTTACACCTCCTTGCCGGATCTAGGCTCCTCTTCGCTGATCTGCCCACTCCACCACCAGATTCGGCTGCGCCACCACCATCGGGAGCTACTTGAGCGCCACTGGATGCGCGAGATGCTCGCGGTGAGGCCACGCCGACAAGGGAGGGAGGGAGGGAGGGAGGGGAGGCCTCTCTGACGGGGGAGGGAGGGGAAGCCGCGCGCCGCTCGAGCGCTGCTGCTGTGGGGAGGAGGACCGGCATCACGCCGTGGGGAGAGAGGGGCGAGCGCCGCCGCTATGGGGAGAGGGAGGAGGCGGGCGCCGAGGATGAGTGAGTGAAACCCTAAAGTCTCCTATATATACTCGGAGCGATTAATCGGGCCAAGATGGGCTTTTCTAAATCAGAGTGGGCTTGGCCACATTAACGGAGGCAGGCTCCTTATGAGGCCCACCTCCGAAAATGGCCCTGTTTTCCCAGGCGGGCATCTTATAAGGCCCGCCTCCGTTAATAGGTTTTAGGAGGTGGCTCCGTAAATCGATTTTGCAAGACAGTTGATCGTGACCGCCTCGGTTAATAAAAATGACCGCCTCGGTTAATCCCAGACATTAACTGAGGCGGTTCAAATGCCCGCCCGCCTCCGAGCCTCGTTGCCTAACGCCTCGGTTAAGTTTTATTGTAGTAGTGGTACACCTAGGTTTAAGTCCTTCCCAAGCTCCCTACTTTTTTTAATAAAAAATATGTTAGTTCCTTCTAAGTTGGTCGTAATTTAAAGAAAATAAGCTTAGCTCAACTGGTTGAATAGGAGATATGGTTATACATCTAGTTACTCAGGTTTGAGTTCTCTCCAAGTCAGATTTGGATGATTATTCTAAGTCTCCTTTGGATTATAGGTATGATAAAATGCAGGGAAAAACCCATAAAAATATAGCACTAATGCAAGTGCAAAACAGAAAAATCGAAAACATATAAGTTTTCTATACCTAGGTATTTGGATAGGCAAAGGAGAAAAACAGGAATAATAAAAGGAATTTTAGGAGAAAATAGTGCTTGCTTTCTTAATCAACCTAATTTCTATTCCACTCAAATCCATTGTTTGCCTTGTTCCTTGTGCATAAGAATTTTTTTCATGAGGTCTAAGTGGATTGTTTTTTCCCAATAGTTTTCCTATGGAATTGAAGGAAAAGGAAAGTTTCCTTTAGCATGCCTCTGAACAATTCCTACAAACCAAAGGCTGCTATAGGAATCCAGTCCATAGGAATTTGAATCCTTCTGTTCCTTATTGATTGAAAGAATGATCTCACTATTTTACAGTCGTGCCAGCTTCATGTTTGATAAATTGTCTGTACTACCTCCGTTACAATTTATAGATCGTTTCGATTTTCTATTGTGTCTAGATATATCGTATATTCGTGTATGTAAAAAATCCAAAGCAACCTATAGTTTGAGACAGACGGTGGAGCATTTTTCTCGGCAGCCGAGGTATGAGAGCTACGCATGCTTGGTCGACGAAAGAAAGTTTCTTTAAAAAGCAACCGAAAAGCAAGGCAATCATGTATTTGGCTTGATCGGCTTATAAGCCGTACTTTTTCAGCCAACAAACAGTATTTTTCTCTCACACCAAATCAGTCAACAGTACTTTCAGCTATGGTTTATCAGCCAAATAAGCCCAAACGAACAGTGTGTAGCTTTGTCCATTTGACCAGCTCTTTATTAATTAGGATTAAGTCCACTTTTGACCCCTCAACTATTTTGTCGGTCTAATTTTAACCCTCAACTACAAAACCATCAAATACCGGTACCCTAACTATCAAAACCGTTCACTTTTAGCACCTAGCCGGGGGCAAGGCTGTTTTGACCGACGTTGAGCGGTTTTGACACGCAACCTCCGTCTCAGTGACATGTGGGGCCCACGCGTCATCGACTCAATCCCTCCCTCTCCGATGACCACGACGTGGCCGTCGGGATGGCGGAGACGGTCGCCGCTGTGAGCGCGTCCTCGGGCACCTGCGCCACCGGTCGCCACGCCGATGCCGCCGCGCGCCACGAGGTGCCCATCACGACTCAGCATGTACATGCGCTCAGACGACCCAGGCCCTGGCGCAGCACAGCAGGTCCTCGGGCACACGCCGTCCTTGATCATCAGGTCGACGAGCGCCCAGGTGGACGTCGCCGGGTCGAAGCACTCCGCGGAGCCAACGAACCGGCCCTACGCCTACGTCGGGTACCCGCCGACGACGAGGAACCTACCGCCTCCCCCGGCGGCGACGCAAAGCCCGCGCGGCTTGTCGCGCTCCTCCGCCATGTCCGAGAGTTGCGCCCACGCGTCGGCGTCCGGGTCGTAGGCGAGCGCCAACTGCAGGACGTTCTTCTTGTCGTTGTGGCCGCCGGCCACGTACACGGCGCCGCCAACGGCTGTGCAGGTGAAGAAGGACCGGCGCGGGCCCGGCATGGACGCGCCGCGCCGCCACGCGCCTGTCAGGAAGTCGTAGACGAACACCGCGTCCGTCGGCGCCTAAGTCTCCGGGTGCCAGACGGTTTTGTAGTTAAGGATTAAAATTAGAACAACACAATAATTGATGGACAAAAGTGGACTTAATCCTTTTAATTAATGTGTACCGGTAGATCTTACGCCTTGTTTAGTTGGACCCCAAAGTCCAAAAAGTTGCTACAGTACCTGTCACATCGAATGTTTGCGGCCCGTGCATGGAGTATTAAATGTAGACGAAAAGAAAAACTAATTGCACAGTTTGGTGGAAAATTGCGAGACGAACGTTTTAAGCCTAATTAGTCAATGTTTGGACACTATTTGCCAAATAAAAACGAATGTGCTACAGTAGCCCAAATTTCAAATTTCGCGAACTAAACAAGGGCTTAGATATCTTCTTCTGCGGTACTGTACTACTACAGTATAGTATATAGGAGTAGCTCTTGTTTGATGATTTGATCATTTCAACGGTCTTTGTCCCGACGTGAGCATTTGCTGGCCTGCTGGGTGTCCCATTTATGTCGCGCAGGGGCGGCACTTTCTTCCATGTCCCTCTCAAATTTCTCGCAAGGCAGGGAAATAATAGCACACCCATGTGGGGACTCAGATTGGTCATGTGTCCAACATCATTGTACACTCGTGACGTTGCTTTGCAAAGCGTACGGATTGACACGCGATATTTTTAAAGGTACAGTATCTGGTCCACCTAGCTTGCCATGCCTGGTTTAGTTATTGCGTGCGATCCCTAATAATGAGCGTGTGTTTAGTTTCAGGAATTTGGAATTTAGGGCTACTGTAGCACGTTCATTTTTATTTGGCAATTAGTGTTCAAACATGGACTAATTAGGCTCAAAACGTTCGTTTCGCAATTTCCCACCAAATTATGCAATTAGTTTTTTTTCATCTACATTTAATGCTCCATACATAGGCCGCAAACATTTAATGTGATAGATACTGTAGCACTTTTTAGAATTTTAGGTGGAACTAAACAAGGACTGAATCCAAGGATATAACAGTAATCCTACTCCTACTCCTACTCCTACTTCTACTGGTGCTAGCTAGTGAACATATAGCACGTCTGCTCCTTAAAGTCGGTAACATGAATCATGCATTCATGTATGCACTACGCATAGTACTGGTGTGTTTAGTCTTTGAAATGAATTTTTTTATGTCACATTAAATGTTTCGGGACGTCGGAAGGAGTTTTCGGATACTAATAAAAAAATTACATAGCTCGTCTAGAAACGGTGAGACAAATTTATTAAGCATAATTAATCCATCATTAGCGCATGTTGGTACTGTAGCACTTATAGCTAATCATGGCCTAATTAGGCTTAAAACATTCGTCTCGCGATTTCCAACCAAACTGTGCAATTAGTTTTTTTTCGTCTATATTTAATACTCCATACATATACCACAAGATTCGATGTAACACTTTGTGGTGAAATTTTTTTAAACTAAACAGGCCGCATACCCCTTCCAAACCGGCAAAAAGCGTGGATGAGAATGAGCAGGCGACACAGCAAGCACAAGCAAGGTGGCGTGCACAGGGCGTGAACCACATGCTTCTGTATATGGTATGCAGGTTTTCATATATGAAAAGGCCAACCGGAAGTTGTTGGGACACGGTTATGAGTCGCGGAGGCCAAGGTTCGCAATAGCAACCAGAACTAATGGTTAACGAATTTTGTGAGCAACGTGCAGGGAAAGAAGACGGGAGCCTCCGCCTGATCGACGTGAAGATCCTGGCGAAGCCCCCCCTGGGGGGGAGGTTCCGGGGACCAGAAGAGCGCCCGCAGGATGGCGGCGCGGGCCGTGGGCGGCTGACAGGCTCGTGGTAACGGCCTAACAAGCAGAGGCGGTTGAGCGAAGAAGATACCAAAGCTGCCCCGGGCAGCTCGTATTATCATAAGTATATTCCGGGAATGTACTACAGTTGCCGGAGGGTAAAATTGTAATATGGAGCAGTAGCAAACAACGCCCTATAAAAAGGGGAATTAAACTGTGTAAAGGGTGGTTGATGAATCTATTAGTGAAACCCAAGTTGTGCCTAGGCCCACCTACCATCTTCCTGCCCTTCAACTAGAGCATCCGACTCGGCGAAGGCTACACCGAGTTTCACCTGCTGGAAATCTGGTTTTCCAACATTTGCGTCTATCGCGTGTTGGCCAAGCAAAACCCACAATGGCTAGAAAGACAGCAGCCTCCGCAAGAGAACCTTCTGAGCCAGTGGTGGATCTAGGATGAAAATCTAGGGGGCTTAAGTTCACACGAGGACGAAGGCATCAAGCTCAGCTCAACGCTCCAGCATCGTCTTCAACCTCAGCTCAACGTTCAAGCTCCTCATTTACATCCTCCAATGGCAGAAAAATTTAGGGAGGGCTGAGGGGGGGCTCCACAGACTCAGCCACGGTAGGGGGGTGTCGGGTTCATAAACCCGGGGTCCCTCATGGACCAGCTTCCCAGCAAAGACTCGGTCCAGCGGACGACGTTGCCAACGTCGCACAACTCCTGGGCCGGCCCAAAAACCTAATGACAGGCTAGAAGGGCAATCCGATCTCTGACCGGAAGGCCTGGTCAAAGAGGAACAATGCTCGCTTCCAACTCCGGCCCGCCTCTCGATCGCAAGGCTTCGCTTCCGACTCCGGCCCGCCTCTCCGATCGGAAGGCCGAGCCAACGCCACCTCCGACTCTGGCCCGTGTCTCCGACCGGTGATGCATCGAACCTCTACTTACAGCTCTTCTCCGACTAGCGCAGTCAAAGCCAATTGGGAACCAACCGACGGGGGACGCCTGCTCGGTAAGGACCTAGGCAACGGACAGAGCATGTAAGACAGGGCGTTCAAGTCAACCTCAACGCCAAGAACCATACCCTGTACATCTGTAGGACAGTACCGACAGGACAAATCAGGGTACCCTGCAACCTTCCAGGCATGTCAGAGCCCAAAATAGTGTTGAGGGCGTCGACATTTACCCTACAGTGTTGTGGGCGCTATCAATTCCCATACCAGGCAAACGTGGTAAGGCCCCTCGCGTGCATCTAGGCATTTACAGTGTTGTGGGCGCGGGCATTTACCGTACCTGGTAGAACATGGTAAAACCTCCCATGCGTCTGACATCAACAGTATTGTGGGTGCCTACAATCACCTTGTACCCAACGGCGTGAGCAACAAGACTTACCAAACATACATACTCTCTCTCTCTCTCTCTCTCTCTCTCGCTTGTAAGGCCGTCCCCTTCATCTATAAAAGGGGATGCGCTCCCTCCCAATAGGGGACCTCAGATCAACTCTCCATCAAAGAACACACAACAACAGAACCACCGGGTTCAAAGCTCGAGCACACGCTCAAACACCCAACTCACGTAGGAGCTCCCATCGCTCTTGGCCCTCCAGACCAGAGTCCGACCAGACCTCTTGCAACCCCCATCTTTCTCCTTCTCGTTTGTAACCCCACTGCAAACTTCGAGCTCCTAGGCTCAGGAATAAAGTCACTGACCGACTCAAACTAGACGTAGGGCACGTTGCCTGAACCAGTATAAACCCTGTGTCATTGAGTGCTAGGCCATATCCGATCACAACGTACGGCAAAACTATAAATATTTACATGTTGGTCACTTTCTGCACCGACAGTTGGCGTCGTCCGTGGGGAGGATGTCCTACATTCACACTTTAGGTCATCGGATGGCCCACTTTTCCGACATCTTCGCCATGGCGGGCTCAAGCGATACGACTCGCTTTGGCTCATTGGAGTTTCCCGCACTCCCACCTGTTGGGATGTGGGTTCCACCCACCTTCGAACTATCTCAGACCTTTCTCTTCAGGAGTCTGGACTTCGTCGCCGACCGGCTCGGCGTGCTTCACCTCCGCGAGGAGGCACCCATCCCGGCGCTCATCGAAGGGGCACCCTCCATCGGCTCTGGGACGCCCGATGACTTCAACGACGAGGCACCTGCGCTTCATTCTGAGCAAACGCTCTGCTCAAACCCTGCTGTGAGTAATGTACATGCTGTTATTTACTCACTGTTTACTATCTTCCACCAATTATCCGGAGGGACCCCGTTGTCCGCACCGCAACCACCGTATGATCGGTTCCCCTATGGCCTCACATCCCCCGCGGGCGCGTACACTCGGGGGCTATGAAGGGTGCTGGCACCGCCCCCTCTCATGTCCAAATTCATGGGAATGGTGAGCTATGCTCCCACCACTTTCCATGAGCTCCTGGATGATGAGGTCGAGAGCGACGGCTCTAGCATCGACGACGTGGCACCTAGCCATCGTCCATCCCGGGAGTGCGCCATGGCGGATGCTCTAGAACAGCCGCCGGTGGTAGCGGAATCCCTGCAGACTCACACCCCTCTAGACCCTCGTGCGGGGGCCCTCGCGCTCGCCCAAGAGCATGGGGAGGAGCTACGACAATGATGGCAGAACTAGCCGCCACCTGCGCCGGCGAGCTCAACGCAGCACGCTGCGCCCCTCGCACGTGACCCAGCGGGCGGCGCCCGAGGTCACGCCCGCCAGGTCGAACACGACATCATGGATGAGGGGAACGATCCCTCACAGTTCACTCAGGCTAGCCAGAACATCGTCGCTGCGGTAATGCTTCTAAGCGGCGTTCCCGAGCCTGTCAACCCCCAGGAGCGGGCGATCCAACGGAACCTCCAGGCGCTGGTGGAAGCCACGGCCGTTCAACAGGCGGAGAGCTTCGTATCGCGACTCTGACCTGCGCCCTCTCTCCCCACCAGGGGAGTGGAGATGCACTAGACAGATCACTCCATCCGCTCGCCACTACAGCCACCGAGCGTGGCACGGGAGGCCACAGCTGCACCGCGGTCTGACCCGACGCATGCTCCACACCGACCGCCGGTACGCGAATGGCTCGGTCCAAACCAAGATGCTCGTAGCGTCATCAACAACCAGCATCAGGCCCGGCATGATGATGACGTCTATCGGGCGACAAGGGCAG